TAATGTCACCAGACCCTTACACTAAAAGGCAGTTCTTCCCTGGACAAACTCTTTCCGGTCTACTTGTTACTGGAACTCGTGGCCAAGGGGCATTTTACCACTTTCACATGTCGGGGACTAAATAGAAGTCAAAGAATGTTTTATGCCATAGGTAAAATAAATTTACACTTGAAAATGTTACATTCAAGCTACTGCTTGTTCACTACGCTGACTTCCCTGAGAAAAAAGAGCAAGAAACTCCAGGGGTTGCTCTTTTGAAATAAACTTAAATGCTATGGAATATATAATAAACGCACCTTGAATCAAATATGTGTCGAATCTAGAGCCATGTCGTCTTTCCATACATCTTTATCTAACAGTAAAAATATTTTAAATGTAGTTTTTGAACTTAAGAAATTATAATATTCATATATGCTCCGGAATCTTATTGTAAAAACGATACAGTTCCCCATAAAAGAGTTTTGACTTAGCTTTAAGGTTAATATTATGGATATGTACTTTTTTTATTGAAATTATGTGTATTTTTACGTGCATATAGAATATTTAAGTAAATGTACTGTGACATCACAGTCATGATACTAGACTCCTCGCACTTTTCTCTGAGAGAAACCCGAGAACCTAAACGGTACACAGAACGAATTGCTCGTTCTTTATTGCAATACAAATACGGTTTATATGCTGCCGCTTTATCTCATATGTAAATACAAAGACAAAAGTTCACGGAATCGCATTAAGCTGCTCAGAAGGAACTTTATATCAATGTAATAAGAGGTTTGTTTCCCTCTTTTACAAAGACATAAAGGTTTTTCTAGGCATTTCCGCGTTGATAGATTACTTCTTTAGTCGTGATAAGAAACCTATAACGAATGATAGTCGTTTAGAGAAAAACCACGAAAGTGTTAACATCTATAAAGTTTAAGACCTCTCCTTCAGTAATTATTTCTTAACTCAATGGGCAAAACCGTAATAATATTTCATCCATAATCATTAAGAGTGCTATTAATTTTTACGTCGATACTGACATTGAAGAAAATTCTTTATGTGACCCTTTAATTGTTGTTTTAAAGATAAGGAAATCATAACCTTAAGAAGGAAAATGGAAGGTTGCTCTTGCTGGTCAATGCTTGAAGTCATAAAGTTCCGATTTAAATGTAAAATCTCCGAAAGGAAATAACAATAATTTGTTATGCAAGGCTGCAAAGCTGTTGTTTAACGCGAGTGCTTGTATTCAAAACCTGAGCAAGCGACGGTAGCTAAGATTAGAAAAATAGATGATTGAGCGTGGCGAGGGTCTCAACTTTTAACCGCTCACGCGATGCGCTCTTCCTACCGCAAAATGGCGCCTATTTGGTTTCGCAAATTAGAAAAGCATTCAGTTTAAATACAAGTTTTTATAAATAAAAATTATTATTCTGCATTGCTAAATAAATACCCTCCGTACTACCAACAAAAACATCTCAAATAAAATGCAGTAATACACCGCAAATCCTGCACTTAAAAAGCACTAGTGAAATTTTTGGTGTACTTGGATAAATATGATAATACTCCGTTTGAGTGGTTCTAACGTTTACCATGAAATTTCTCCTTAAAGTATAGTTTATAAATATTTATATTCAGGGTAAACTTAAAAAACGCTACTTACGGTATGTTTTCAATAAATAAACATCGAAATCACCAGCCCAAGCAATAACACACACGATTGTCGTGACGTATTTTTGAAGTTGTTTATTTTTTTTAAATGACAGACCCAGGCATTAAAAACTTTATGGTTTGCTAGAGTAGTTACCGAAATAGCAATTAATATTAGTTCTTTTACCTGTTATAACTTCGATATCCGATAAATCGGTATAAAATCAACACCGGCACCTCTAGGTGTGGTATGCGTCTACGGCTGCATGTATCGCGTGAGCGGATGTTTGATGATGATGCCAATACACTACGGCCCTGAGTCCCCAGTACCATATAGACCATGTTCCTAATGTCCAGGTTCAAAGTCGAACAAAGTAAAGGACGTGGGGAACCGCATCACGAAGCTAAAGTGGAGCTGGACGGGGCACCTGATACGGAGACAAGATGATAGATGGAGTAAGGCGATAACTGAGTGGCGTCCAAGGACTGGGTACAGGAACGTCTGGCGTCCAGCGGCGAGATGGGTAGACGATATTACAGAAATTGCGGGGCAAACCTGGATAAGCACGGGACCGTGCGGAGTGACACTGAAACTTGGAGGCCTATACCCAGCAGTGGGTGAAGTCAGAGTGTATATAATATGATGAATAAGCTCCAGTGTAGAATAAAATATAAACAATAAATGACCAAGTTAAAGCACTAATTTACAATAATAATAAAGATAATGCACCCAAGAATACGAGTACATAAAGCATCATATAATGTATACAAACTTCTTATTGTAAGGGGTCAAGATTATGTTTTGCAATGGCATAATTATACTACAGATGTGTTATGAAGATCTTTAGGTTTTTTTAAATATATCTTCAGTACCTGTTGGAAATTATACAATTTTTATATATTATAATATAATATTTATTAATTTTATAATTATAATAATAAATTGAACTTAATAAAAATTCATTCAATAAAATAATTTGTAAAACTTAATGTAGCGTAAATTGGAATGTTTTCTTTGTAAAATTATTATTAAAAATAAGGTATTTAATTAATAACTATTGTAACTATAGTGAAAAAATAGGGTGGTTTGCGTCAATATTAGACATCACTGGTTTAAGACTGTACCACCGTGACCATGGGACCTGTAAAGGGCCAAAAACGTCGGTTTGCTTAAAAAAAACAAATATACGTGATTTAAATCCGGAAAAAAGTTTCATTTCCTATGTGGAACAATCGCGAAAACTTAAGAACTCGATATTAAATAATTTAATAAAAAAACCGACCTCAATTTCATCCCCTAGTTTGCTACCCTTAGGTACCCTCTTTAAAAAGAGAATCATCTCTTTTTGTTGGAAAGAGGGTACCTAAGGGTCAAAATCGGTTCACAAATTATCGCGTAACATACATATAAAAAAACATACAGTCGAATTGCGAACCTCGTCCTTTTTTTGAAGTCGGTTATAAAAATAACAGAAGGTACTTACAACTTTACATAGAACTAATTCAAATAAATAGTTTTGGACGTTAATGACAGTAAAAAGGCGTTATTAGGTACTGTGCACCTTATATACCATAGATTCCCAAACTTTTTGTCTGGTAGACCACGTGTCATTTTTTCTGTTTCGTTTACACTCCCGCTTTTTTTATTTTGATTATTACAAGTTCATGTAATTTTTATTCCTATGTGTTTGACAGCTGAGACCGTGCTAATGAGCAGTAATATTTAAATTACTGCGTTCCGGCTTTAAAGGGTAAGGGGGCTGGTGAAATTACAGGCAAATGGGACTTGTCAACTTATGTCTCATGGTGACGGGGGCAGTAGCAGTGCCCCTCAGATCTTTGCGATATAAAGCTCTGAGTGGCACTGTAATTGTTATGGACAGGCGTGTAGCTTACCATCAAACACACAACTCGTTCATCCCGTCACTTGATATTATTAAAACAAGAGAAACAAAAAAAAAATTATAATCAATTCTAAATATTTATCTAAGCGAATATTTTATTTGTTGTGAAATGCTTAATAATCCGATCGTATATTTTTTTAAGCACACACACTCATATCATTATAGTTGTGACTAGTAACGGATCATCTCAAAGAGACGGTATAATACCTTATTCTGCAATTAGCAAATTATATTTACAAGGTTAACTTAGGTCAATGTTATAGAATTGGATCGGTTAAATTAATGCTTAGTTTCCATACACGTTAACTAATAGATTACACACATTTATTCAGTATTAAGCGTATTAAATTTAATTTGTATAAATATTAGTAAAGGTTTAGGAGGTTTAGGTTAGTCCTGCTTGGAGATGTAAATGGGTAATAAATAAATATGTTTACTTCTCGGGTGAAACTAGTTAAAAAGGTTAGTTTACCTTTAGAATCGAACCCGAGACCTCCTCATCTAGATCCTATAGTATGAAACCACAGGGTCAACGAGGTCGTTAAATCATAGAACTGTCGAAGTAGTGAAAAGATATTTCATTTCAATGTCAAAAGGGAATAGCAGTTTCTTTTTTATAATACGAAGTGACGGGACGAAAAAGTTGTGCGCCTGGTGGCCTGGTGGTAAACGACACGCCTGTCCATAAAGCCTTAAATTACAAAGATTTGAGAGGCACTGCCACTGCGTTCATCACCCTGAGGCATAAATTGACAAGCTCATGTTGCACCCTTATCCTTAAAACCCGGAATGCGTTAATGCCTCACGTTACTGCGTGGTGGCAGAAATTGATAATGCGGCACCCGGATGAACTCTTACACAAAGTACCCTGCTGCTATTTATAAAAGTGCCTGCGATGTTCTCATGCAGCACTTGCTGGTGTGCCCCTCGTATTCAAATACCTACACGAAGCAAGACTTCAATACGGCCACAGATGGCGCAATTAAAGTAACAACAAATTAGCTTCTCAGGTTTTGATTAATGAAACCATATTTTCGGATCTGAATAGCATATCTTTATAAACAAGCTAACGTTTCGAGATTTTTACAGGTCTCATGGCCACAGCTGACGGACAACAATTTGCAACAAATTGTTCAAAGCCTATGTGATTATAAAACAAAAGATTTATCGATACGACAAGAAGAAGAATGCTGTGAAATTCCCAAGATAAACATCTTTTGTAACTTATTCAATTTACTAACGCACTTCACGCAGGAATAATAAAAAAATATAGAGCTAAGAAGGATTGTATGTATCTATCGGAAAGTAATTGTCACGTTTTTTCGCAATTGAGCTTTAGTTAATGTACTATTTGGTGACTTGCTATTTAAGATAGGATTTATTATTAAACAACAGAAGTAATTACAAAATATACATTTATTGAAACACATTATATAATTGGCTACATAAATACATCAATGCCTGAACCTAGTAATGGTAGCCGGTCTGTTCATCGAAGCTCTGCTGAGGAATATTCTGGAAGTTATTCTGGGTCTTAGGAGCTAGGTATTGACGACCAGCCGCACCTAGACCCTGACCGAAGGCATTGGTCTGGCCAAAGTTTGATCCACTTTTACCAAATGATGACCCACCCTGTCCGAAAGATGACCCACCCTGTCCGAAAGATGAACCACCTTGTCCGAACGATGATCCGCTCTGTCTAAAAGACGAGCCACCCTGTCCGAAAGATGATCCACTATGTCCATGGGATGATCCACCATGTCCGAAAGATGAACCAGTCTGTCCGAAGTTTGATCCAGATTGACCAAATCCAGAAGCACCATGTCCATTCTGACCAAATCCAGAAGCACCATGTCCATTCTGTCCAAATCGAGAACTATGTCCACTTTGGCTGAAGCTGCCAGAACCATGCTGACCAAAGGAACCAGGTTGGTTGCCAAAAGAGTTACCGGCTTGACCAAATTGTCCAGATGGAGTACCATACTTGTTGCTGGGAGTTTGAGATCCAAATTGGCCGGTCTGGTAGCGAGAGAAAGCTGTGGAAAGATAAAAATATTTTATTTCATGAAATTGTGTGTCTACTATAGCGGGAAACAAGTGGTTGTGTATGTATTGCAGAAGTTATTAGTTAGAGTAGGTATAACTGAAGGAAGTGGACAGATTTGGATCAAATTGTCAGACTATAGCTTAAGCTCTTTTCTTAGAGGAAACCCGTGCCCAGTGCTCGGACGTGTAAAATGTTGATAAAGATATATCCACATAGATATTATTGAGAGCAGACAGTTCAAAACGTAGAATTTTTTTAGGAGGTTCATAATTCTATGAGACCCAAAATTTATACGTCAGAGTTTAGTCACATAGAATATAATAATATCTCTATCATGTTGATTTTCCTTAGTAGCTAAATCAATAAAAAATAATAATGATCCTGCAAAATGAATACTGCAGCAATTCCAAGTGTGGTAAAATTGAATCGTTGTGAAATATTCTAAACTTGTTATTTAGCTGCTTTTTCTCAAAATAAAGAACAAGAGTACAATACAATACAAACCTCCGTTCGATCCAGCGCCATGTTCATGATCAGGAGGCAGATACTGGTTGGAAGTAGCAGCGTTCAGGTTAGAACCAGAGTGGAAGGCAGAAGCTCCATTCCTGGCACCAAAAGAGCCTTGAGACCCAAATCTGGAAGCACCATGAGAGCCAGATCCGAAGTTATTGAAACCATTAGAGCCTTGGAATCCGAATCCATTGGAGCCTTGTGATCCAAAAGCATTAGAGCCTTGGGATCCGAAAATGTTAGAGCCACGGTTATTGCCAGGAGGAAGGTAGGATCTCTCCAGATTGTCCAGACGTGCAGCGTAGCTGACGGCAACAAGGGTGGCAATAATTATGAACTGAAATCAGAAAACGAAATAGAATAAGGTGAGTAAACTGCTAAGAAAAGTAAAAATAAAAGTGTACACCGTAGTAACAATATAACTCCCACCAATTTATTTGCATTAATAATCATAATAAAAGTGTACAGATAAAGTCATCAAGAAGACGAACAAAATAATTTTTGTTAGCACTCACTGCTACTAAAATAAAAATTGATTCGAGAAGATAACTTATAGAAGAAAAATATCAAAGCATTGTTTTAAATAGTAGAAAAAAGATTGTCATAGAGTTTTAAGATCATTATCTTATTCTACGACTTGCAAAGTTTAGCAAAAAAAAATCGACAGAACTGACACCTTTTATAATTTTTATACAATATTTCATAAATGTAAACAAAAAGAAAATAAATCAAAGAGATATAACACATTCAGAATAGAAATACACAAAATTGAATCCTCTTATCACCCTGCCATTTCAAAATACTAGCAGCACTCTTACTTAATATGCATATAGTACGTTAGATAAAGTAATAGCAACTACCTTGTAGGTTTCGGATTAGTTACTTATTTTTGTTTCTTATTATCCCTTAGTAAAATAAATGCAAATTACATAACATAATTATTTAAATCATCAATCAATAATTATCATTTAACATTGGTTGACATCATTACTGCATTTTCAAATTCTAAATGGAAAATGCGTATCCCCAAAAAATACACAATTGGCCAATACAGAATAGCGATAGAAATAACATATTGGACACTCAAATGCAGCAATATTTTATGGAAGCTCTGACTTGTTTAGGGTTATTAGAATCAAATCTTACAAGACTATAAACATCAGTTATGACTTAAAGATTTCTTAATTTCAAAGACCACAAAATAACCAAGAACAAAGGCAGCATAATTGCCGGTTAGTTTAAATGTAGGGTACTATGATGAGATGCGGACGATTGTAAAGCACGCATCCCTGACGTCATGCGACAACTTGTGAGATACTAAAGTGTCCTCAACCTAGTAAAATGCTTACTTAAGTAGAGCTTTTATGAACGTATAGCATAAGTTAATACATATTATTAAATATAGCATAGTATAGCGTAAGTTAATGATAGTTGAATAATGACTTCGAGGCGTAAATTATGTTGCATCTAACACTCGAAAATTTATAGATTTATATAATCTTTTGATTCCGTTACTTTCATAATGATTTATCGTACTTTATAAATTACAACGCCAACAATGAACAGTAATGTAAATATAACAGAATAATGTACTACACACGGCCTATTTGCTAAGGAGCAAGTTTAGCCAGTCAATCTTAGGACAGAAATTTTGAAGTTCCAGGCGTGGTGCAAACTTCGAATAAAAATATTTCGAATTATTTTCTTAAGGTCCTAAATGGTTTGATGACTTTTGTATTTGTATATAATTTTGCAACTTTTTTGTAAGTATTTTTATTATTTACTTAATGCAATAATTTTTTGGTAATTTAATTATTTTTTATTTGCCGTCTAAAACATTTTGAATATTGTTTTAAAAAAGGCAATGCAGAGGATCAATAGTTTTGGATATAAATTTGAAAAAATACTGTTTTTAATTTATATGTTAATTTTAATTTACTTCTTTAAATAGAAATCATTAAAGTTTTACTCAGAATAAAAGATGTTCCTCAAAAAAGTTTACAATTCAAAACAAAAAATAGATAAATTTACCAGTTTCATTTTGGGATCCGCACGTGACCAAAAATCTGAACCAAATGTGTTTGGTTAGGATGCTCAGATCAAACTGTGATGATGCTTACTTGTACGCCCCATTATATATAGACAATCTGATCCTAATCCTTATATCTCACGCAACTGACGTCACCTTTATTACACAGATAATAAAACATGTGCACGAGTAATTAAATTTTTTTTTCGACCTCGTCTGTCAAAATATAAGGAGCATGGAGTATTCTCAAGGATTCTCTCTAATCGACAAAAAGCAATTAATATCGATATTTGAAATCAATTCGAAAGCTAAACAATTGCGGTTAATAGATGTTTTGTGAATAGAGCTTGCAGAACCGAGCTTTTCAATACGCAGTCGTTTGTATATGCATGATTCAATTTGATGACTGACAAAGCATATTTTAATCTGATGATCTACTTAACACCTTAACATTTTTTATACAATGCATCTCCTGGCAGATAGCTTAGTGCCCGTTCAATATGATTTTCCAACAGATGTTCCAGATTTGAAGGGTAAGGAGCAGAGGCTCGAGCAGTACTTAGCAGAGGGTTGCGGGTTCGAATCCGGACAATCTCAGTTTTCGGAATTTATGTGCGCAATTTAATTTTTTTACCATTATTTTTTCGGTGTAACATAATATATGGCACGATTTATTCAAACCAAATAACATTTTTTTACATTAATGTAAAGTATCTAGAACTAAGTCTAATCGTGACTTTATAGTATATAGAAAAGACTAAAATCTAGATCAAAATTCAAGCAAATTACACTTGAAATCGTCATATTCATTAAACTCTACCAGTCATTCGTGAGGCAATTTCCCCAGAGAAGAATGAGCAAGAAACTCTAGGGTATAGTTTCCGAAAGTGGTCCATACATTTGTCATTTATAATATTTATTTCAAACATCTTAGATTGGGAATAGCTGCAGAAGTTAAACGGGTCACTAGCACAGATTTTTGTCCTCCAAGTATGCAGAAGCGGTTTAATAACCTTTAGTATATACAAAGTTTTTGTTTCACTATAGTTTTAAACCTTGTAAATGGCAAAATTTTAATGTCAACCGAAATCTTATTATAGAAAACGTGTAAGACTTTAGAAATTTTATCCAAGCCCTAGATCAAGGTACAGCTCGGTATAGATGTATCACAGGGCTTATTATATTATTACATGTTTTATTAAGTTACGACCATACACTCTATGGTCGTAATGTAATAAAGAGGGCAAATATGTTGTGAGTATCGCACATTTTTGACGGCACGCGTGGCTAGTCACGGATTCGATTCCCGGCATGACCAATTTGAAAAATGACACTTTTTGGAGTAAATTTCATTGCTCTGGTATTTACAGGACAATGAATTCCCTAGTTTGAGACCTGGCAAATGGCGTAGTTGTCTTTTTTTATAATACAACGTGACGAGGCGAACAAGTCGTGTAGGTAACTGGTGGTAAGCGACACGCGTATCCATAACAGTTGCAGTGCCACTCAGAGCTTTAAATCGCAAAGGTTTTAGGGTCACTGCCGCTGCGCCTGTCACCTCGAGACATGTCGACAAGTCCCTTGTGCCCGTAATTTTACCACCACCCTTACCGTTCTAAACCGGAATGTAGTAATGCTAAATTACTGCTTGCCGGCAGAAATAGGTAAATTGGCAGTACTTCCCTGGACGATCTCTTTCACAAGGAGCGCTACTACTGCTAATTATTAATCTGGCACATTATTATCATATTAAAGGCTATCAGCGCTAAAGTGGTGAAACTAACTTTTAATTTTAATACAATATTTTTTTTAGCAATATTGTATTGTTGCCAATTAAAATATCAAACATGACGCTGCTCAAACGCTATACTGCCTCCGATTAGTTAAATTGACCTAACCTGACCATAACCCTTTATTAAAAAAAATATTGATTAAAATATAAGCGGTACTTGGCCACTTCTATTCCATTTCTCTGATTTTTTGTTAGTATCGTTTGTTCGGCTTTCGTCTAAATATATGAAGAGGCTGAATGGAGGAACCTTTGCCTACCCAAATAAATACCTGAAAAAAGGATGATATTTTTTTTTTTATTTCGTTTGTTGTTATGGATTGAACGAAATATACATTAATTAATTTAAATTAATTAACTAGAAGAGAAAGTATTGTACGCAATCATTACATAATTAGGTCTTAAAATCTCGTACCTATTAACCACGGTGCTCGGCTTTAGCACCCTGATTATACAACGATTGCATAAAATGCGTTCATTCATCTCAGCCCGTTAACCCCTGCTAGATATAGGCCTCCTTTTTTCACGCCAGCTCAATCGGTCCTGTGCGAATCTCATCCACAATCTTCCGACCACCCTGACGATATCGTCCGACCATCTAAATTGCATAAAATGCTATCATATGATGAAAATAGTATCCAAATGTAAAATAATTACGTACTTTAGCATATGTTTTTTAAACGCATACACTCATAGCCCCGCACTGGGAAAACCCTGTGTTGTGAGTGCCGAGTGAATGGATACACACATGGACAACCACAAATTACCTACACCCAAACTCATGAGAGAAATGAATGAGGCCATACAAATATTTCTCCCGGCCCGGGAATCGAACCTGGGACCTCTGCGTGGCAGATCAGTATGGTAACAGTACAACTACAGTGGCGGTTAAAATAATATAAAAAAATTTCATAACTTTTGCACCTCTGTAGAATAAAACAGAGTTATTAAATTATTGCATTAACAGTAAAATATTCTCGTGTTATTTAGCTATTCTTGAGCATTGTTTTAGCTAAGCTCCTTGTGGTTTTTTTTAAATAAAATGGACTTGCTCTTGACCAATACCTAGCTCAGGAGCAAAGATAGGATCTATGATGGAACGAGCTCGCCCAGAAGATGCCTATTTAGTCGCACCTTTTTATTAGCAGTAGAGTTCTATGTCAAAGAGGTCGTCTAATGAAGTACTGCAACCTTACCTATTTCTGCCGCCAAGCAGTAACGTTAGAATTACCGTGTTCCGGTTATGAAGGGTAAGGGTACTGGTGAAAGGGCACGTGAGACTTGTCACTTATATTTCAGAGTGTTGGGCGCAGTGGCACTGCAACTGTTATGGACAGGCGTGTAGCTTAACATCATGCGTACGACTCGTTCGTCCCGTCACTTAATATTATAAAAGAAACCTTAAAGATACTCGAATTGTATGTGCTTGGAAACACATTCGCAGGCAGGAAATTCTATTCCTGTGCGCATAATAAAAGATGACGTAAAGCTCTTAGTACGCGTAAAGGGAATATCGACCAAATAAGGTTGATATCCCGCCGTACGTTTGAATATCCGATGGTAAAAGGGGGCGGACGAGATGAGCCGATGAAACTTATAGGCACATTCACCGGTAGAACACCTACAGTCTATAGTGTCTATAGTGTAGATATTCTACAATTTAAATTCACGATCTTGTAACTCAACACAGTCATGATGAGGATGGGAAGTCCCACGATCAACTTCCGGTAGAATCAAAACGTGAAAACGAACTTGTCTAAACTGATAACTTAACTAATATTAAAATTACGTGCCACAAACATTTTAACACATATGAATTATAGAGAAACAAAAAATAAGTACTCACAGGGCCTTCATCGCAAATTGTTTTTGATTTAATGGTACAAAGCCTATAATAAACTGCATTTGTAGGGTGACCATTAGGCTAATTCTTAGTGATATTTCTAGTAACAGACAAAGTTGATTGTACGTACGAATTTATAGATAAAATTACATTTTGTGAAAAACATAATGTTACAAAACCTTTGAAAACATTGAGTAAATAGCTATATTATTATTTAACTTTTACATAATTTATTTATCTATACATTTACATCAGGTAACTATAATCCATATAATATATATATTAAAAACTAACATACATATGATATAATATAAAAACTCCTAGAAATAATTAATCTACCCGAATTGCACTAGCCTGGGGACGTGTGGCGCTATCTGGTGTCAGTTAACCGGCCTTGGAATCATTTATGGGTCTATAATGTTATTATTTACACGTCCCATACGTCATCCGAGACCATAGGACCTCTAACGAACCCGAAATGTTGGCTTGTTTCGAAAAAATAACTATATTACACGCCATTTTAAATGCGAAAAAATAGTTTAATTTCCGATGTAGGGATAGCAATCACGAAAATCGAATAACACGAAATACATATAATGTAGAATCAAGTTATTATTAATATCATTATTTGCATGTCAAAACGTTTTAACGAATCATGTGCTCATGATAGATTCTATTATTTTATTTCACGTTACTTATATAATTATTTCGTTTTTCTATGGAAAAATTTTTTCGTCAGGTTTTCCGCCAATATTAAGGAGTATAGGCGACGAAGTCAAACGCTTTGTCAAAATCAGATAATGAATGTAACTTAAATTCTGCCAATGTATAAGTATACCCCAACTATTACATAATTTATAAATATTATAAAGTATTTCTTTATTCTAACTGCCTCCGTAGCCGAACGGTTACCATGCCGGGCTGCCACGCAGAGGTCCCAGGTTCGATTCCCGGGCCGGGAGAAATAGTTGTGTGGGCTACAATTATTTCTCTCGTGAGTTTGGGTGTAATTTGTGGTTGTCTAAGTGTGTGTCCATGGCACCTGCGACTCAGGGTTTACCTAGTGCGGAGCTATGTTGAGTGTGTGCGTTATTTATTTATTTATTTATTCTGAACAAAATGATGGTCAACTTAACTTTTCTTTAAAAATAAAAAGATAAACAAAATAAATTTAATTCTTCTTACAATGTTGAATATTGCATAAAGTTTATAGTTTAATAATTGTAGACATGCAATTGAATTCATATCAATGTTCGTTCAAGTGATACGCGAATACCAATTTTGGATAGGACTGCAGTCGAACGACTACGTAACTTCAACGATTTTTTGATATCTTGAACTTATGATCATCACCACAGGTTGGTTGTCACATTCTAATA